GAAAATTTTTCAAACTTCCAAATAATTAGTAAAAATAACAATTATACTTTCTCTAAATGTATAATTAGTTTTATAGATAGTTTATTGGTACCCACAAATATAATCTTTACATTTAAATATGGACACTTTATATGCTTATTAGAAACGTAATATCATAAAATTCATATATTAAATCGCATATGAAGATAAATAATTTTTCAAGATAATTAAAATTTCTCAATTATTTATTCATTTATTTCATGGCCATAAATTTCCTTATTAAGAGTCAAATTTAAAGAAAACTTTACAAATGAATAGTACCCTTAGTTTCAAAAATTTAATCCAAAGATATTACTATATATATATAATGGGGTATATAAAACTCACATACCTGCAATTATGATTAATTATTTTAACAAAATCTTGAAACTTAATTTTCAAGATGTGTTTCATAATATTCGTCATATGCATGATAATATTTCTAAAGTGATTTCAAATCAAAGCATAAAAATTACGTAATATCAAAACTTATTTACTACTAATCATGCATTTTTTAAACTTTAATTGATACATATTTTATGAGTTGTATTTAAGATGTATTAATTTAAATAAAATAAATATACTTGTTTATTATCTAACTAATTATTTTAATTTATAAAATTAAATTACTAATACATATTTTTTATATGTATATATAATTATTAAATGAGATTATATTATATTAATAAATATTTTTCGAATAAAATTTAATATCCATTGCGTATAAATAATAATATACAATTAAAAAAATTCACAGTTGAAGAGAAGTGGGGTTCACATCAATGAATTAAAACTCCAAGTGCACCATTGCCGAAAATTGCTTTACGTCAACTCTAAGATCAGGTGCAACACCTTCACAATGAAAATCAAGTCCGTCACGGACTCGCAGACGCTTGCTAATAATTAGACAAGTGTTGACACCTTAAGACCAAGGGTCAATCCCTTCACCTAGTGGAAAAAACAATTCGTGTCGGACTTTGATACCATTATGTAAATTCTTAAAAGATAAAATAATTCTATTGGTCCCCCAACTTCTTCATTATTATTACTTTTAAAATTTTCATTAAATTAATCTACTCTATAAAATGACATGACATTAAACGACGGAAAAAAAATGGTAGCACAAGCCCACAAATACTAAAAGACTTGATTAGGTCTAACATTATATTATACAATTATTCATAAAAATTATTTTAAATACTTAAAAAAATATTTTAAACACTTAAAAAAACAAAAAGATTAAATATCAATTTTTTATATATATTTAATTTTTTTTATATGCTGAAATTTCCTTTTTCCGATGGTTCGATTCCTCACTTTATGGCCATCCTTAACTATTATATCGATAGTGTTTTTGACTTTAAAGTATTTTATAACGTTTGCAACTTTAGGGACAAAATTTCATTAAACAAAATTATTAAGGGACTAAATAAGAAATTTTCCTTTAATTATCTCCAATAACATTCAAAATATGTTTCACAACATTAACTAGACTTTTAGTTGAATCGACAACTGCTAATCATTTAAATAATTTAATAATAATTTTTTAATATTAAAAATAAAATATATTAAATTTAAATTATATAACAGGCAAATGAGATAAAATAAAAAATAAAAAAAATTATTTTTTATTATATAAGGAAAAAAAAAAAAAGAAAAACAAAAGTTGAATTGGCAACTACATAATTTATACCGCCAAATCAGTGAACCATTCCCTAGTCCCCACAAAACTTTTCAATTGATCACCACAGTATACCATCACAATCATAATCAAAGGATTCAATAAAATTAGGATTTCACCTTAGATAAAACCCAATTAAGGCAAATTTGTTCTGCTTTTAAACATTAATTCTGACTCACAAAAGATATTATAGGAGCATGTTTTATAGATTCTAAGGCCTCTTGATTATTTACCAACATAGCCCCAAAATCTAATCATAATTTAAAAAACAAAGCAACTTGAGAACCCTTAAATCAAAATTTCAATCGGTTTGTCAAAAGCACACTAATGAAACCAATTGACTTCTCAATTATAATTCTTGATTTTAATTCAATTAATCACTACCAATCAATGATCACCTCAATATAATTTTAAAGAAACTAAATATGTGAATGTCTGATCACATTAGAGATACACTCAAAATCAATTGAGAAATTTAGCATAATAGAATATTCAAAGTTAATCACCAATTAACACTTAATTATACTCAATTGTAAAACCGTCTTTTAATTTCGACTTCAAAGCATCAACAATTTATGAAAACAAAAGATTTCATCAACTTTCTATACACATGTATACAAGAAATAATTTTAAATAATTATAATTTGAATCCTAAATCATGTATTACTGCTCTAATAGCATATGTTAGAATTTAAGAATCAATATATAATCTAAGACATCAAAATTTAACTAAATAAACAAATTTTATACCTTAATCTTCATAATCAATATATTATTTAATGATTATCATGGGTCATCATAATTCCATTATGCAAAACAAATATTCCATTCTAAAAGAAAAAAAAAAGATTAGTACTTAGATTTAAGTTTTCTTTTCCTTATTCAACTTTTATATAGTGAAAACTAATGTGGCATATCACTTTTTAATTCTATTATTTATAGAGATAGGATTTTTTAAATAGAAGAGGGATCTAATCATTTATAATAATCTTTTTAGACATCCTATTAAATAATTTACTTGTAATTTCAAGATTTACATCTATTCATAGTATATCATATAAAATTGAGATAAAATTTAAATCTATTTTGATTATATAATTTTATTAAGTTTTATTAATTTTTTATTTATCTAAATTTTAAAAACTAAATATAGTTAACAAAAACTCACATAAAAATTTCCAACAATTTTAACCATGTAATTTTTTTTTATTACGAGAATTTTATGTTTATGGGGTTGGCCTTGTCCGCCCACAATTCAAGCACGGTTTGCGTTTGATTTTTGCCAACCAAACAGACACAGTAACGATGGCCAAAAATAAAAACAAAGAAGGCACTTGCAACGTTGACATTAAACGGCAACTCTGAATGTAAAAGGTCTAATTTCCTAGAAAAATTTTTACAGGGTGCTTTTTGCCGATAAAAAAAAGGTAGGGTTAAAGCCAACTATGGTCCCTCTACTTTCCTATTTCATTTATTATCCCCCTTATACTTTGACATCGTTCAAAGACCTCCCTCTAGTCTCCCAAAACATACTATTATCCTCCCTCTACTTTCAATTTTCATACTAGTTACCTCCCTCACCTAATGCAGTTAGTAATACCATACTAACACTAACACCATTACCATTTGCCATCAAACTTCACCCATTCATTAATTTATTATTATTTTTTTATAAATTTCAATTATAAACCTCACAAGTTCCATATTACTCACTATATCACTAACCTAGATAGCCCCAAACTTACAAAAATAATATATATAAAATTTATTTTTACCATTATCGAAGTTACACCTTTAAAATTATCTACCACAAGATTAATTTGAAGATGTACAAAAATTGATTTTGAAATATCCTAATTATATATAAAAAAAGAATATAAAGAAAAATAATTCTTGAAATAGACTATTATATATTGATAAATGAAATTATTTTTTTAGTTGTGTTAATAAAATTTATTTTTTTATAGATAATACAATAAGAGAAATCATAAAAAATTTATTAATTTATATGTTGTAATAATTGTATAGAGTCAAATAAGTAAAGTTGGGCATTCAATTTGGATTATTCAAATTGAACTAAATTTTTGGTTATACAAACTAATTTTGGATGGACTTTTATACTCAATTCCAACCAAATTTTTAATTTGGTTATAATTTTGGTTATCTAAAATTATTTGGATAATTTAGTTAACTAAAATAACCGAAATATATCATTATTCTTCACTTTTTGTCATTAAAAACTTTTTAAAAAAATTTGATTATTTCTAATCTTTTTGGTCATATTTCTATATATAAATTTGATTAAAAATTTTTTTGTTCAAAAAAATTTCATATAACACAAAAACTAAAATAAAAAAATAAAATAAATTTATACTAAAAAATTTCAGATAATTTCAAATAATTTGGTGTTTCATATCAATTTATTACTGCATGTTTCTTTCTACTAACATTAGATCTAAATATTTTAATATGTCTTAAACAAAATAATTGCACCTAAGTCGCCAGTGATGACAAACTAATAAATGCTAAGAAAATTTTGGATAACAACAAGACAGTTGGGCAGTGCAAAGTACCATTTGGCTACCTACTAAAAGGGGTTATCACCATGCATGCTGTGGTGTAACCAATTTTAGCAAAAGCAAAAAGAGGTATTCTTATACTAATTACTCTAAAATGCTTATTTTGATTTTGGTGATTGACTAATATTCTAGAGTTTTATTGTGTTAAATCTTAGGTTAGGTTATTCTGTTATCTTAGTAAAAAAGAAAGTGGATGAACCCCTAGGAAAAACTTGTATTTGTGTTCAATACTGCAAGTGTATTTAATCCTTTGATAGATAATTTTAATTGTAATTAATTTTGTACACCTTTGAATTAATTTTTTGGTAGACAATCTTAAAGGCATAACTTTCACATTGATAAAAATAAATTGTATAAATATTATTTTCATAAGTCTAGGGATAGATCTAGATTGATGACATGGTGGGTGATATAATAAGTGACATAAAACTTTTGGAGTCAACAATTAAAATTCATAAAAAAGAAAAAAATAATGAATGGGCGAGGTTTGATGGCAAATAGTTAGTAATGGTGTTGGTGTTAGGATCGGTGTTAAGTGAGGGAGGTAACTAGTATGAAAATTGAAAGTAGAGGGAGGACAGTAGTATGTTTTGGGAGAGTAGAGGGAGTCTTTGAATGATTTCAACGTAAAGGGAGGAAAATGAACGAAAAGGTAAAGTAGAGGGACTATAGTTGGATTTAACCCAAAAAGTACAGCCGGTGGCAAGACAGGATAGGGGAGTAGTAATAATTTTGCAAAGGTACAGAATCCAGAGCACAGAGAGATAACAATGGCTGTTCTTTCCCTCCCAACTGTCCGCTCGTTCATCAGGTACTCTCTTACCTCTATTTTTTCTTCTTGGCTTTGACCATTTGTTGTTTTTACAGCTGTTGTATTGTTTTGCAGGTGTGAATCAAGTCCCATGAAGAACAACGGAGTAGGTGATAAGGTGAAGATGCATCCAACAGAAGTTGGGTTCTGCAGGAGGGATTTGTTTCTCTTTGGTCTTTCTTCTTCATTGTCAACAGTTTTCTCGTATTCAGGTGCTCTTATACCCCATCCCACCTTTTGAGTGAGTAAATTGGAAATTGGAAAGAGATTTTGCTTCTTTAATATTAGCTGCTTGCATAATGTGAAAAAGTTGCATGAATTTCATTAGTTGAATGTAGGGTTTGCTTCTTTTGTAGTATTAGTTAGCTGCTTACATAATGTAAAAAGGTTGCATGAATTTCATTAGTATTGTAGAAAAATTTCAATAGAGTTGGGTGACAGAATCCACATTTGAAAAAAAAAAAATGAAAAAAAATTGTGAAAATTGGGAGAATACCATAAGACCAAATCTTCATTTATGAAAAGATTTCCAACAGTATGGTGTTGGTTCTTCACCCTAGGATAATGAAATTTCTCAACTCTTCATCTGTGAAACATTACGTCTTTATCAGAAACTGTAAACTTTATGTTACCGTTCCTATTGGTACTACTTGGCAATTCTGAGTTTGAAGCTTAATCTTTCAACTAATTATCAAATAGTTCTTTCATAGCAGAGCGTCTAATGTGTATACTAACCACTAGTTCTTCAATAAGTGGTTCCATTTTCTTTCAAGTGCTAAATTAAGCTTATTGCAGGTTGTCTTGCAGAACAAGACCTAAAATCAGCCTCATTAGTTGACGAAATAAATGCTTATACCTATTCATATCCAGTAGAGTTGCCTTCTAAGAAGTTCCTCTTCAAATGGTTGGTCACTCATGCATCAGTTATAATTGATGTTTCCTGTTGCATTTTCTTTTTCTCAGATCTTACTGTTATTTCCACATTTGCAGATATATTATCATTTTATTGGATACAGTGATAGGTTAACAACTGAGACTACTTTTAAACTTGTAGTTTTGTTGAAGTTCATCACCAAGAAAGTTTGAAATTTCTCTTTATCAAAAGTTACTTAAATCCTTGGCTAATACTAGAATTCAGTTCATGTCAATCCCAGTCATAAGGAATTTTGTAAGACAATATCAGATTTTAACTAGCATGAGTAGTGAATCATACAATGTATTGATGTTTTTCCTATTCATTCATGTCTAGATATTGCTCTGTTTCTTTATTTAAGCTCAATTTCTTCGCTAATTTTAACTTCAGCCTTTTTCTTTCAAAAAGTACTTCTGACTCTTTTCATTTTGATATATAATAAAAGTAAAAATAACAAATTAATATTTTTCTATTTTCCTGGTACATGCAAATTAATATTTTTCTGATAAAAAAAATAACAAATTCATTGTTTGTGGTTAACTTTTGCTTTAGAAGATCTCTTCATTGATTCTCAAAAGAAATATTCATACTTTTGTTGGCAAATAAGGTGTTACACCAAAATCTATAGAAAGGCAAATGTGAATCTCACCTATTTTATCAAATTGTTCCCTGTATTACTGGTAAGAACCATCTAATGTAGATGTAGATTAGAACCTCACTTTAAACAACATCTTAGCCCTCTTCTGTAATGATTTCCACAGATCATAGTGTAAGAGTACTTCCTGAAAATAAGATGCAAATAATATCTTCTCCTTTTTCTTCTGATTACTTATGCAAAATCAAACTAGTACTCTGCATTATTATCAGCCATTGGTGGTAATGAATTGTGGGAATGTGACTCTTTATCCATTTTTCTGAAGGGTGGAATCTAGGAAGCCAGAACGCTATTCATCTGCTGCACCACTGTCTCGTAAGTTCTATTATTTTGCCTAAGTTTACAATTTGAACATTGAAAGAACTGGTTAACATTAAAAAAAGATCCCCTTACCTGATTTGAAGTCTTACACCAACCTCTGTTAACTGAAGAAAGTCTTGAACACTGATCATGTTATCACATGATATGTTACAGCTGATGCACGGCTTCGCATTGTGTCTGAACGTGTTGACCTTATTGATAATCTCATCATTTCTGTTTCGGTATCTTCTTTTACAACCATATTTTTGCTGAATGCAATACCCTAATGTTTATTTACTGAATATTGATGTTTTTGTTACCTGTGGATTCAGATAGGTCCTCCTAATAATCAGTTTTTAAAATCAAAAGAAAAGAAGACATGGCAAGCAAAAGATGTTGCTGATTCTGTTTTAGCTGACAAGTCTGCACTGGTAAATACAAATGATTATTTCCTATCTAGTAGGCAATTGTTCACAAATGTATTTTGAAATTGGTTGTATTCTGTTCCAGATAGTGTTAATATATTATCTGAAGAAGGTTGAATAACATATTAGAATAGAATTGGAATTTTGAACCATTTGATTTTAATATTGTCTCCAATTCAGTGCGAGAAAATGAAGTAAACCTGATATTCTGTAAAAGTTATTCTCTGGAGCACTATTTAATTATGGGTGGGGAAAATGGTTTGAAGATACAAGTCTCAGTTATAATGCCGATCAAAAAAAAAAAAGAAAGATACAAGTCTCAGTTTATTTTTATACATCAAACCATTGGCATGTTTGTTCTCTCTACTACCGAATTTTGTTAGTTATGTTCAACCCTACAGAGGCTGTTTGGATTTATTAACTTAAAACCAAACTCCTTGAAGGTTGTGTCTATTTTACATTCTCCATCTTTTGGCAGCGAGTCACCTCAAGTCAACGCATGTCTGAAAGTTCACTTCTTGATGCTCATGCTAGTGAAGTAAGCCTTTAAACTTTCCTTCAATTTATATTTCTGAATATTAACACAACTGATTTGAATAGAGAAGGTGTTGTCTTTTAATTTTCCTTAGATCGATGGTGAGCTATATTGGTATTACGAATACCTTGTTCGCAAGTCACCAACTAAAACTGTAAGTATTTCTCTGTTTCACCACTAGGTGTTGTTGCAAGGATGTTCACAACTGGCATAATTTTTGCAATTATTGATATTTTGACTGGAATTATGCAGGCTCAAGGACAAAACCTTTTCCGACACTATGTTGCTTCAACAGCTGAACGAGAAGGTGCATTTTCCTGTGTTTGTTGCTTAAACTGAAAACATGACTTAATAGTCAGGATATATTGTGTCCTTGTTTTGGGACTTTTGCATGTTATGGTTTTTTTAACCATGCAAAATCCATTTTGCAGGTTATCTGTACTCTCTAAGTGCTTCCACACTCGGCCAACAGTGGAGTGAGGTCTCTCTCTCTATGACCATTACTAGAAGCAAAGCATC